CACTCAAGCGCATGCGTTTAATGATGGTAGTATGAAATTAACGAATTTCCGGTTTTTGTTTATCAACGTTATTTTTCAAAAGAAATAAAGAACAGTTATATAATTTTATTCCATTATATGTACAGCATTATGTTTTATTGCTTTAAACGTTATTTTTATTGCACATCCATATATTTGAGTGGACGCTTTGTTTATTTTAAGAAGTATGCTTATTTTTGTCTGATGGGCAGAATCTTATTAAAGACAAATACACTCCCCCAGGTATGATTCGAATTTGCCTCCGCTTTTGCAGAAGAAACCGTCGTTATATCCGACTGAGTCTGATTGACTTGGCACTACTCGGCTTATCTATCTATCTATCTATCTATCTATCTATCTATCTATCTATCTATCTATCTAATCAGTTAAAATCTTTTCCGCAATTACTTTTCGTTTAATTTTTCATACATCTATCTATATATATCTATTAGAACATGTATATATATATATATATATATATATATATATATATATATGGATTCGTATATATGCATGCATATATATATATATATATATATATATATATGTACTATATTAGGTGTATGCTCTCTAATAGATATTTATTAGAACGTATATATATCTATTAGTACGTGTGTATATATATATATATATATACACACACATATATATATATATATATATATATATATATATATATATATATATATATATATAGACACATTTATATATCCGTACTATATTAGATATATACGCTGTAATATATATATATACATATATATATATATATATATATATATATATATATATATATATATATATATATATATATATACTAGAATATATATCTAAATATTAGTATGTATATATATGTATATAGATATATATTTATTATATATATATATATATATATATATATATATATATATAAAAATATATATATATATATATATACGCTCTAATATATATTTATCTATATTATATATATATATATATATATATATATATATATATATATATATATATATATATATATATATGAGGGCCCCATAAACAGGAAGAATACTGTAAAAAAAAAAATTAGAAGTAAAAAAAAATAATAAAACCAACTCAAAAAATAATAAAACCAACTGAAATAAATTTGTTGAAACTTGAAAATAAACTGTTATATTTATATTTCTTTTCGTTGTAAATATCGTCATTTTTTTCCGAGTGGTAATAAAACATTGAAATAACTCGACGGTAAAATCACTTTATCACGAACCAAATCGTCATTACGAAAAAATAACGAAAGTCCTTTTATTCCATGATAAAATTACTTGCGATAATGGTCGAAAAGAATTGCAATTGCTGAAATTGATAAATTCTTAATTTTTTTTTTTTTTGATGTTTTTAAAAATCTTTCGGGAATTCGATTAAATGAAAATATCAAAGCGCTTAGTCGTTTGCATTAGAAAAAAACAAACAAACAATCTCACCCTAAGACGTTTCTGCTAACAAAATCTGGAAAAAACTTCTTTCAAGTAATTGATAATAAATTAATTACCGCCACGAATTGGCTATGCGTAAGATTTTAAATGTATTTTAAAGAATGAAAAATCTTTCCTGAAACTTTCAATTTAGCTATAAATGCAAGCTAAACGATTAAATTTACAGTAAGCAAAATACTTGGGTGCATTTCCGACAGAAATTATATTGATTGAAACAGACTTTCATTTTTTTAGTAAAATCGATGACGTTAACCATTTTTAGACATTTGTAAACAAAACTTAATTTTCCGTTTATAAAATCTTGCAAAAATAAAAATAATATATATTTCTGAACCATTATTTGAGGATAATTAGCAAATTTAATGTTAAGTTAATCTGGCTTGAAACAAATATTACTTATAGCACAAAATGTTGCATATAAGTATTTTCTAACGACGTGTTAATCGATTTATTGAGAACGGATTGACCACCGAACAAGTTCATAGTTAACAATGTTGTAGCAGACGATAAATTTCATTAGGGTGTTTTTTTTCCTCGTAAGGAGCGGGGGCAATCCTTAAAACACTTAACCTTTTAAGAATAAATTTATTGGTTTGTACATCCTTACTTTAGAAATTCTGCATCTATATACATATATAAAAACAAATTGAAATTATTTAAAAAATAAGCGGGATTTCAGATTGTAATAAGCTTTAAAATATATGATTAGTAAATATAGTTTTACTTAATAAAAGTATTTCCTAAGAGTTATCTCATCGAAATAGAACTTTAAAAGATTCAAAACTATATAATTTTAAGTCGTAAAAAATTGTAAAAAATAAAAATAAATTTTCATCGAAAATTTTTTTCTTCAGTCAATATTGTCTAAATTATTCATAAATGCAATTAAAATTTTCTCTAATTAAATAATTTTTACTTTTATTGGGTTTTTCATTTTTCGATTAAGCACAATTTTTGGTAAGACCGGGCCTGATTTTGCAAAAAAAAAAAAAAATAAAATAAAAATAAAAATATATATATAACTGTGATTCAAATTTTTTAAAAATCTGCTTTTGACTAATATACTCACTAAAAATCATCTCGATGAATTTCTCAAGGTTTCATAAAATAAAGTAAGGGGGAGAAAAATATGTAAAATAAAAAAGAAAAATTACCAAGATTTTCTAATAAACAATTCCAAATATAATTTCATTCGTTTGTGAATAAGTCCTGAAAATTTAATTTAAATCTGACAATTATTTGATTTTTGCAAGGATTTCCAAATTAAAACGTCTGTCACCGCAAAAAGATGCCAAAATGTCAAACGTGTGTTTTTTTTAAAATCAAAATTTCGTATGTTCTAAAAAGTAGTAAAAAAATTAATTAAATTATTTTTACACTTTGATCCTTCCTCTTAATAATAACATAAAGATTTTGACGATATAATTATGTTTTCATTACGTTCGGAGCATGTTTTCATCATGGTATGCTGTTTTTTTTTCTAGCGATCTTGTGGAGGCATCTATAATAAATATATGCATTACTTACAGATGATCTAATATCTCCATCTTTGTCGTTATCCCAACATTTACGTCCGTTATGCTCTTCAAGCTGTCGATCCGGATAAACTCCAGGAATGTCGCATTTATTTAATCTGCATCTTAATTCATCATAGAAATTTGGAGTGAAATAAAGGTCAGTTTTGAACTTCTAATTTGATTCTAAAAACTCTCTATAGACGCAACCTATAATATTTCATAAATTGCTCACCGAAAACCTTACATCGATAGCGTATTGTTTTTGATTGTGAAATTACGAGACGATGATGAAGTACTAAGTTGTTGGTCAAATCAAGAATAATAATGAGTTTGGAGCCATGCATCACAAGAGGGTGAAATTGAACCGTAAAAGCATAAGGAAATAGACGAATTTCTGTTAGATACATATAAATGAGAATGTATGAATCACACACACACACACACACACACACACACACACACACACACACACACACACACACACATATATATATCAAGGTTATCTTATACTTGTATTTTCATTGGTTATTAGTGCTTACGTAACAATGTTTCCCTACTGAGAAGAGTTTGATTGATTTTGAACTTTTTAAAACTTTTTGTTCTGAAATCAACTCCATTACCTGACAAGACACCAGAAATGTTGAAAAAAAATGACTATTTTTGTAGTGGTGTTATAACATGTTTGTATTATGAGTTTTGAATAAATAATGTTTGCTTTACTCTGTATTGAGCACTCTTTTAAGCATAGTGTTTTTAGAATTTTATTCCATATATACCATTCCTACACTTGTATATACTTGCCTTTAAGTGTTGACTTCTATGTTCACACACACACACACACACACACACACACACACACACACACACACACACACACATATATATATATATATATATATATATATATGTCATAGACAAGATATACACGCTCCGAAAAAAATAAATTTGGGTCGAGCACTTTAGAGAGCGCAAATTTGTAAAACGGTGACTGCTACTGCTGATAATGCAACGCTCTTCTATTAATCGAGCACTGGCGTGTTTATTCAAAATAAGTACGTAAAAATTCACCTTATCTCTGCGATAAGAGCTGATAGCTTAGGGGAAAAATCTCCAGCTGACATCAAATCAATCGGGTTTTGATCTTGGCTAGAGTTAATCGGGTGTCTAGCCACACGGATGAACTGTCTGACAATATATGCATATATATGCAAACAGGGGAACCTCGACGTGGTGTAATGGTTAGTAAACTTACTAGATCAAATTCGAATGAGTACTGAGCATCGAGTTGGTTCCTTCTTCATATCTAAGCTACGTTTAGTAAATCGCTATATATGTAAACAGTTAAGCACCTGAAGCCATAAATTAAATTTGAAATGTCACCTTTCTATTTTGTCATCATTATACGTATGAAATTTCTCTCCTATTTTTCTCCTGACTAAAATTTATCTTCTTCAGATTCCTTCACTGTGAGCCAAGTCCGATAATTTTGTGATTCACTGCTGTAGAGACAAAATAAAGACCGAATGACTTTCACTATTCTAAATTCAAGTCTTAATCCTTATTATAAACTATAGTCGAACCTTTCTTTTTTACCTGGCCTTTCTTTATTACTGAGCCATGTTTAAACAGAATCTTGGGAAAGTCAAAGTTAAACATGAACGTAGCGAAAGTTTTTAAGAGTTTTTATGACACTTTCAGTTGCAGTTCAACCTTTGATTCCGTTAACTGTTTTTCGCACAAAAATTTCTTTAACACCAGCCAGATCTCCAGCAAGAAAACGTTCGAGCGTTCGGAAGGTGATTTGTTTAATTTATTTAAAATGTCTTTCTCTCCTGCCGATAATTTATATCGGGTTTTGACTTGTGTAATATTTGAGAACGCCTAGAAATCACCTTGATTATTTTCTGAGGGAAAATGGTGAACGAGAAAAAGTGATGAAACAAAAAAAAAAAAAAGTCGAAAAGAAATTAAAAAAAAAACATGTTTATAAAGGAAGTCAGGCGATTAGTTTGAACAGGAACGTGATAAGGAGAAAAACAGAAAAATAATTAAAGTCTGAGAAGAGAGAAAAGCAGAGAAGAAGGAAAGTGGGGAAGATGGAAATGAAGGAGAGTTTAGGGAAAAAGAATGAAGAGAAAGAGGAGCGATACAGACATAGAGAAGGTAAGAGAATACAGAGAGAGAAGAGGAAAAGGTGAAAAGAAAAGAAGTAGACGGAATACCAAGAGAAGAAAATAAAAGAAAGCGAAGGGATAAAGAAAGAAAGAATGAAATAAAGAAAGGTAAAGGAAGACAAATTTAGTGCAATAATGGAAACAAAAACGAGAGAGAGAGAGAGAGAGAGAGAGAGAGAGAGAGAGAGGAAGGGGTAGATATAAATGTAGAGGAGAGAAAGAAGAGGAAAAGTAAAAGGAATAAAATAGATATGCAGAGAGAAATAGGGCGTAGAGATGAATACGAGAGAAGCGAGAGGTGAAAGATAAGAAAAAAGACGAAAAAGACGAAGTAAAATAAAGGGAATAATAAAAGAAAGAGAAAGAGAGAGAGGGTTAAAAAGAAAGATGAGTGATACAGACATAGAGAAGGTAAGAGAACACAGAGAGAGAAGAGGAAAAGGTGAAAAGAAAAGAAATTGACAGAATACCAAGTGAAGAAAATAAAAGAAAGCGAAGGGATAAAGAAAGAAAGAATGAAATAAATAAAGATAAAGGAAGACAAATTTAGTGCAATAATCGGAAAAACGAGAGTGAGAGAGAGAGGGAAATGGGTAGATATAAATGTGGAGGAGAGAAAGAAGATGACAAATATAAGGAATAGAATAGATACACAGAGAGAAATAGGGCGTAGAGATAATTACGAGAGAAGCGATAAGAAAAAAGATAAGAGAAAAAAAAAAGATAAGGAAAAAGACGAAGTAAAATGAAGAGAATAATATGAGAAAGAGAGACATATATATGGTAATCAAAGGGTCCTTGCTTTTTTTGTACTTATTAGAAAAAAAATGGTATACACTGTTCATCCATACATCGAATATTGCTGCCACATACGGTCCGGTGCACCTGATTTATATTAAGAGCCTCTTGATAAATTCCAGAAATGAAACAGCCATATTATTGGTCCTGACCTGAGGTATCAGCTTCAGACACTTTCCCTTCACTATAAAGATGCTTCCATCTGCCTTTTCTATAAATACTTTCATGGTAACGTTTCGGATGAACACTTCGCTTTGGTACGTAGACCGTATGAATTTAAACGCTGTACTAGATTTGCAATAATGTTCGTTCTGTTTACAGTTGACTGGTTAGATGTAATCATTAGTTATATGCTAACAGTTTCTTTTATCGCACCTCTCGCTTGAGGAACTTTCTTCCTGCTTCTTGTTTTCCAGATATGTTTGCTCTTCATAAATTTAAATGCAACATCCATGACTCTCCATGACACTTCGATTATTCTCGCTCCTGATTAATGTTTCTGCTTTCCAAATGTCTCACACCAAGTAACCCCTTTGTGTCTTAGTGACTTTACTCCTTCCATAGGGTGAATTCGAGTAAAAAATACAGCAAATTTGACATACCGTTCGTTCCCGAAGTAATCACCATCGACACCCTGAACCTTTTCTCAACGCGCTTACAACTGCCCAATGCGCTGGCGTTAAAAATCATGTCTCTTAGACGCAACGATGTTTGGGAGTGCCTACCGCAACTCTAGCTCATGTACGAAGCATTTTTCACGTAGGTACTTCTCCAGGGGATGGAAGAAGCGGTAATCTTTTGGCGCATGGCCCGGGGAGTAAGGTTGATGGCACAGAGTCTCCCAGTCAAATCGCCGTAAGGTGACCATGACCACCCGTACCACACGAAGCGTGGCATTGTTATCGAGGAAGAATTCATCCTTTGCGATTAGCCCATTCTGGCTCTTTCCACTTCAGTGCACATGTCCAACTTTTACATCATTTGTGATGTAAATATCTCAGTAACTACATAGGAGTCGAACGTAATCGGAATTATCGAGCCAGTATGAACGATCCTTTCTTTAGCTGCATAATATGTGCTTCGCCAGTTTTGAATTTAGAAGTTTGCTTCTCCTAGACCGGTTGACAGACAAGGATATATCTGTACTCCTATTTACCAATGGGGAGATGAGATTGATTCATACCTTTCTCAAGTGTATTAGCACATAATTGAATGTAATGAACTCAACTGGAATTCGAACTCCGCTATCAAATTCCTTAATTCGAGCCGCAACAAATTAATCCACCATACCTCCTAACTACATAGTCTATGCAAATGAATCAAAACAGGCTTATTGTTGAGCAAAATAAGATTTATTCACGAAAATTTGAATGAGAAATTCAAAGGTATTTCATGAACGATTTCAATATGCGGACCGCCTGTGACAGTGGTGGTCGTCCAAATTCTTTGCCTTGGACAGACAGCGTACCTATTTTAATTTTTTTGTGACATGTCCACATCTACATTGCAATTGGTGTTTTTTTTAGCGAATTATCTGACAAATGTATGCTGCACCGTCTTGTTCGACTGTGTTCAAGCAAACTCTAACACACAAACAGCCTTTTCTTTTCCGGTGAACGACATTTCTATGCACGAAAAAAAAAAAAACCAAAAAAAAAAACACATGAAACATTAAACAGAAATTTGAGTTGTTTCTTTACATGCTGTTAAACTTTGAGATAATCGGAACGAGAATTGGTCAAATTATCAGATTCCGAAATGATGTCTGAAAAACCTTGTATATATTAGATGTTTATGTAACGAATTCTGAGAGAATCAGAAACACTGAATAAAGGAAGAAACAAATTCCGTTGTTGCTAGTCGCTAAGTGAAAGTTGGTACAGTAATTCCAAGTCTGATTTTATTCTGATTTTTTTTTACTTCCTTAGTTCGCATATATGTTACGTTTAGCTAATATCTTATATATAATGAACATATCCAGCTTGAAATATCTAGGGTCATTGCTTGTCATAGTAAAGATCTTGCGTGACCCAGTGAGCTGAAGAGCAAAGCCGTTTGGAGTTACAAATCCTATAGAGCCAACCAGGTAAGGTCGACCAGACTGAACACTACGAACCCCCAAGAGCCCAACGGCGAAATAGGCAAATATCTACGCGATCTCAGCGGCCAAACCGGCGGAAGAGGGCAGTGTCAGTCGATCTGGTATAAGCAAGGCGGGCCTCGACTGAGGAAGCATACGATGCAAACAGGTTTGCTAGATCTCTCTTGATTCAATCCCTTTTGAGTCGTGAGAGAAGCACTTCAGGCCAAATGTGGGGGCTTCTCCATCACGCAGGGTGGTCCACCAAAATCAACTTCACGAGAATGGACCCATTAAACTCTCTCTGATTCACATCTACGTAGGCCACCGCTAACCGGTAGGGGGGTGGCGGCCAGAAATGGAATGACGATCCAGATGCACCAATGCTAACGGGTGTCGTTGATGAATGGACTATTCCATTCTAATTTCGGGGAAAGATAAAAACATTATATCAGAGACGCTGTTTAGTTTCACTGATAGAAAGAAAGATAGAGAGAAGAGACGTTAACATTTTATCGTCTGCTCCGATAAAATTTAAAATCATGTCAATTTCGAATCTTTTAATTTGTAGCCTCTTACTTCATTAAATAATATCCTTAATTCATATTTATGATTGTTATTGCAATATTTTATTAAATCTGTTAAGATTCAATATTTAAATTGGTAGTAGGGAAATCTAAAGAAGGAAAACTTTGAATTTAAATCTTGACTACCTTGAGGCCATATCCAATCATGGGAAAGGCTTCAGGTGTAAACCATGAAGACAAATCCGGAGCCAGGATCCAATGCTATGTTCAATTTCGTTCCTGCAACGACGGCGGTATCTTGAGAACAAATCCGGAGCCGGAGTTCAATGTTACGCTCAATTTCATTCCAGCGATGACGGTGGTACCCTAAGGACAAATCTGGAGCCGGAGTCCAATGTTATGTTCAGTTTCGTTCCTGCGGCGAGGGTGGTACCCTGAGGACAAATCTGGAGCCGGAGTCCAATGTTATGTTCAATTTCGTTCCTGCGACGACGGTGGTACCCTGAGGACAAATCTGGAGCCTGAGTCCAATGTTATGTTCAATTTCGTTCCTGCGACGAGGGTGGTACCCTGAGGACCAATCTGGAGCTGGAGTCCAATGCTATGTTCAATTTCGTTCTTGCGACGATGACCTCTACTTTTTCGCTCTATCTTTTCACTTGGACAACAAGTAGCGTGTAGCAGGGAGACGTTCTTCGTGGGCAAACTCTGATCTCTTATAAAAACTCTCCCCAGGTCAGCGACCTGGAGAGGACATTCCAGCGTCGGCTCACTGCGACGGCAACAAAGAAAGCAACACTCTACTCCTGGGAAGATTCCGAAGGTCCATCTCTACGTGGAACTGGTCACCGGCGGAGAGTACTGGAGCGACCTCAACTTCGCTTCAGGGACGTCAACAAAAGTGACATGATGGTGAAGGGCGTGTACATCGAGAGCTACGAGGATGTCGCTCACACTGGAGACGCGATTTACACCGAGGGCTGAATAGCGAGTGAAGAAGAAACAGAGGCCTCTCGATGGGTAGGGTTAGCGCCTGAAGGAAAGAAAACAACGCAGCAACATCGGGGAAGAACGTCTTCACGTACATTCGTTACAATCGAGACTCTCTATGTACAACCATAACAGATGTTGCGCCTCTCTCAGCAGCTGAGGCATAACTCTTTGGGAGTACATCCATGATCGCTTGAGATCGACCGTTGCCATATGAGTAGAGGTATCATCACGTGTAATTTACAGTTGTCTATCTCGCAAGAAGCTTATTCAATCATTAACTTAAGAATTAAATTTTATCCGAAAATTCAAATAGGAAATCCATGAAAGTTTTAAGGGGTATTTCTCGTAAGGAATTAATCGAGATATATGAGATAAAGTTCTTCTTTTATCTGCCGATGTCCTTTCAGGGAGTAGGCGATCATGATTCTCCATTTCTTCCTGTCCTTTGTAGCTCTCAATAAGTTTTATTTTTTTCCCTGATCTCGTTCTGCCATCAACTTGCTGAAGCCCGTTAAGTATGTCACGCGTTGCTTTCCTTTGTCCCTTTTCCCCTCTATCCGCCCTGTGAGTATCATATTTTCCAAGCACTCCTTGCTCATTACGTGTCCTAGAAATTTCAACTAAATTTATGTAATCAAATAAAGCGATCTGGGTGGGGTTATACTGACCCTGCTTCTTCAAAAAAAGCGATGTCGCTTCTCGTGTCACAGGACATATATCGAATGATTAATGGCGACTGGGTTATTTTCTGACGTAGTCTTGGATTTTTACGAAGCCTGTGTGTTAACTTGACGCCCAAGTCACAAAGCTAAATGGTTCCAAAATGTCATGTTATTCATCCATATTTGGTGATGCTGAGAGAAGTGGATTCCCAGGGATATAAATGTGAAATGAATGAGAGATAACAGGCTCTTTTCTAGCACTTCCTACCCGATGAACTCTCTTCCGATTAGTTGTATCCTTGATGACTAAAATCTTCAAAAATTTAAATGCGACGTCGATCGCAATTCTTTCGTTTACTTGAGCCCCGCTTCTCTCCCCCATCTCTTTCGTCAATCCTCCCAATACTTAGATTTCTCATTCTCTTTCACCTTCACTCCCTGTAAGCCCCGTATCTTAGTGGCATTGTCGCCTTGCTTGGAGAGAAACGATTAAAAAAAAAAAAAAAAAGAACAAAAAACAGAAAGAAATAAAAAGGAAAATGAAAAAAAGCTCTTCTAGGCGAAATTTGAACCCTGTTCTCTAATTTTGCCCTCTGTGTCGTCCTCACTTATTATAAAAACAAGCATAACGCCACAGAACCGAGCCAGTTTCGCTTTTGTTTGTTTGTTTAACGGCATATCAACTCTTCATGGGTCATCTAATACCGAAAGTTACTTTTCTTGGGAGCTTTGAAGTAATAAAATGAAGTTGAAATATTATTCTGATTTCACAATTGAATACATGGTAGATGATACTCAGCTTTTGTGAATATACATATCTGCATGTGCCAAATAAGTAGAGTAGGTGATATATATGTTTTATGTCGTAGTTTTGTTCAAGTTATATTTTCGAATAGAGTTTGTTTTCTTTATGAAATTCTAGGATATTATAAGGATTATTATCATAAAAGAGTTCTTTCATGTTTGTCGTTTAGTTGATTTTGTTTAGAGACACATCAACCTCCATGGGTCACTTAATGTCGAAATCTAAATATTTTGAACCCAATTCTATGGCTTCAACCAAATATATTTTGAACGCAATTACATGCCTTCAGCTCCAGATGATATATATATATATATATATATATATATATATATATATATATATATATATATATATCGGAGAGCCGAGTTCGAATTCCATAGCAACTGGTCTAGAAGAAGAATAACTCAGAATTCAAAACCCGCGGAGGGTGTTTGAGGGCTTTGTGGCACGTAGTGCACCAGGTCTCTGTATTCGGCCCACCAAAAAGTGTGGTTGGTACTGCACAAAGCCTTCGCCACTATAATCAAATTATATGTGCTGGTGTCTGGCTGTCTGTTCACAGGAACTGACCTGTTTGACCTTCATACGTCGAATAGGACGGGAGAGTCCACCATATATATATATATATATATATATATATATATATATATATATATATATATATATATATGCATTATAGCTAATTTTACTTTAAAACTGTATTTTTATACTTTTATAGTGTTTTTTGGTGGTGGGTGGGTCATTTTTCCCATAGCTTGGAGCTCAACTCATGCTACCACCCCTGGTCCGAGAGGAGATGGGAATAACAGCCATTAAATCTTCAACCTTTCGATCAGAGTCCGTGCTGCCGGATGGAGTTTATCGTCATATCCAGGACTAAAACTGTCAGTCATCGTGAATTGCGTGAGTTCGTTGATCCCATTCTTGTCAAATAACAGGAAAAGCTAATAAAATAATGAATAAATGAAAAAAAAAAAGAATAAAAAAGAACATATTCGAAAACAGAGCAACCCTTGAGAAAATATTGCCAAAGAAGCATGAAATATAAATTTATTTTTATGGCAAACTTATTCCTATAAAATGTTGATATAATAAACAGTGGCATTTTTGGCAAGCGGACCTTCGACATTTTGGAACATTTCCCAAGTGATACGTGCGATGTCTATCTAAAACCACACAATCCCAGGATTTTGGAATTTGCCTAACTTTGCCATTAAGGTCATTATATATCAAGTTATTATCGTTTGAAATTAATCAAAACTAACAAATGCTTAGTCGTGTATTTTTAGATGATGACGTCTAAAGAGTTGATTTTTCTGCCTCTTTTTGCCAGGAAAGCCATTGGAATATCGTTGAAATGACAAGTGACATAAAGTTAATATAGGTAGATAGGTTGTCCAAACTGGGGTCAAAAAAACTTTGAAAGTTCAAGAATAGGTTTTAATGCCAGCAATACATTTTTTGAAAAATAAAATTACCAGTAGTACATTTTTGAAAAAGAAAAATATTACCAGCAATATATATTGAAAAAATATTACCAGGTATATATTTTGGTAAAAAAATATTACCAGCATTACATTTTGAAAAAAATATTACCAGCAGTACATTTGTGAAAAATATCACCAGCAATACATATGGAAAGAAATATATTACCAGTAATACATTTTTTAATGTTGTGGATTCCGAGATGAAATTCAGTCTCAAATGAATGACAAATGCAGGAATGAAATATAGCAAATAAATGTATTGACGCAATAATACAATTGGTAATACGGTTAGTCGATCCAGAAATGCGGTTAGTGGCAATAATAATATATATAGAGTCTGGGAAATTTAGTATCGAAGCAGGACTTCCTTCTGAGTCTACGTGCTCGCAACTGTGACTCCTACAAAGCGGTTACTTCACACTCTCAATCTCTCACTGTATCACTCTATCAGTGTATCTCTCCCGGGTATTCACCGGCAGCAGTACAAGTACACACTGGTCGAGTCCACGTATGAAAAAGGGGTGGGTTTTAAGAAAAAAATTATTGCCAGCAATACATTTTTGAAAAAGAAAAATGTTACCAGCAATACATATTGAAAAAAAATGTTATTAGCAATACATGTTTTGAAAAAAATATTACCAACAATACATTTTTGAAAAAAATATATTACCAACAATAAAAATCTTGTTGGCATTAAATAACTCATTAAGGTTGATATACCGTAAAACAATTCAAACGAAACCATTCATTCAGTAATTATGTGGGCGAACTTCGATAAAAATAAATAAATGATTAAATAAATTAATTAAAAAAAGCAAAGAAAGAAAAACAAAACAAGAAAGGAGAAAAAATAAAACAAAATGAAAGAAAAATGAAGGAAAAAAGTAAAAAACGAAAATAAAAATATCGAAGAAAATGAAAATGTAAGGAAGGGAAAAAATTAAAGAATAAGTCGAAAGAATAAAAATTTAAAAGACAAACCAGAAAATGAGAGAGAGAGAGAGGGGGGGAGGGGGAGAGAGGAGGGGGAGAGGGGAAGGGAGAGAGGGGAAGAGGGGAGAGAGGGGGAGAGGGGAGAAGAGAGGGAAAGAGAGAGAGAGAGAGAGAAAGAGAGGGAGAGAGAAAGGATGACATACATAAAAAAGAGAATAAAGCTTGGAAAAAAATGTAACGAAGGAAATATGGAAGGAAAACGGGAAGAAAACAATGAAGAGTAAGGAAGGAAATTGGACAAAAGAATGAAGAAAAGGAATACCATTTATTCAAAAAAGTGCTGGTAAAAAGATAGAGAAAGCAAGGCTGTAATGAAAGAAAAGGAGAAGAAGTCAAAGATTTACCGAAGATCAAATTATTTTGATTTTAAAAGAAAGATATGGACCAGATATGATATGACTAAAAATTGGTTTTTGAAAGACAAATATCAAGATAGGCATTCCATACGATAAAAAGACATCAATTTCGGAATTGGAATATTAAAAATAAAACATTAAAAAATAATAATCGATTCCAATTTAGGAAATAATCTCCCAGACCTGTAGAATTTGATAATATTTGTTGGTCGATAGATGATACTGATCACTAATTTGGGGTAATCTTGGAGAAACACTGCGCAGATAATCCCCGGTTTAGCATAAAAACAAGAATGACAAAAAAGAAACAAAAATGCTTGAATGATGTACGTTGGAAGAAAGAAAATAGCGAATAGCTGGTGTAAAATTAGTTTTGATTGTAAAAGAGAAAAGAATCGAAAATAAGAGAAGAAAAATGGTCTAATGTAATCTGTAGTATGAAACGGAAAATTTGCTTTCCGTGTGATTTGGTTAGTAGGTCGACTAAGAAACATTTTTGCGTGCATTTTCTATTCTAAACAAAGTTTTAAGAGATAGGACAATATCCTTCAAAAACAAAGAAAAGCTTCGCGAACCGATATGTAATATCTAATCTCCTATATGGCAGTGTTTTCTGGACAATATCATTAAAAATGAAGAAGTCCTTGGAAGCGACAGGAATTTGATTCTACCGTTGAATGCCAAGAATACCATAGACAAAACTTGATAAATGATTGATGTAACCAATCAAAGTATGTAAACAAACGAATAACTGAAAACTAGTTATTATTCTTCTATGTACCGTGTTCGTTCAGCATGTTCACGGTGATTGTTCTCCACAACAACCTATCTTTTATTTACATTATATATAATAATATAGCATAAGAATATTCTAGGCGATTTTCACTATTTACATTGTTCGGATTGTTGTCCTCATCTTTACTGTCATATTCACGACGTTTCTGCCATTGTACGCCCAGGCCTTCTTCAGGAGACTGGAATTTCGAACTGAACTCTTTATTCCATCCACCGCGGTAGATTGTACTAGACTCTACATTTTTGGTATATCGGGTCCATACCGATCCCTCAATATTTATCAATATTTCTGAGATGAGGTTTCTCATCTTTATTGTCATGTTAAATTTTCGTTGAGATGAGGAATAGAAATTCAACCTGAACCCTTTATTGTACCAGGTATTTACATGGTTCGGACTCCGTACTGATTCTTCAATATCTGTTTATTTTCATGTTCATTATTTCATTTCGAATTGCCGTTGTCTTTATTGCAACCTTCTTCAGCTGACGCCCAGGCCTTCATCAGGTGATAGAAATTCAACCTGAACCCAAAAAATTTCGTCCACCGGGGTACATCGTTCTGGTCTATATATTTATATATATATATATATATATATACCATTCTTGTGTGTAAATATCTGTTTAAATAATTTCGTATTTTGAGATGAAATAATACTCGATACAAAAGTAGAGCATAAATATAATTATTTTTTAAAATATGATTTTACATTGTCCATGTTTTCAAAACAAGAGCTGAAAACTTCAATATAGTTATTTGAATTAAATTTTATTGTAAGCTCGTTCACGACGTTTCGATTAAAAAAATTGATGGAACCCAGGCCTTCTTCAGGTGATGGACATTTAAAATTGAATACATATTTTATTGCGTTATTTATATATATATATATAGATTGTTTTTAATGTAATAATGTAAATAAATATAAAATATATATATATATATATATATATATATATATATATATGGTGGTGTTGTGTGTGTGTGTGTGTTCAACTATTGTGTGTGTGAAAGACCAAATATAGAAAATAGGAAAGAACTCGTTAGGTAAATAATCCAAAGTTCTTTAGTATTTTTGTTATGACCAAGGAAAAAGGACCCTAGGAGCCTAATTTTTAAAAATAATGCTCGATACAAAAGTAGAGCATAAATATAATTATTTATTTAAAAATATGATTCCAACGCTCATCGGCGGGCCAATCCCATTCGTGACCTTATATCGTATATATCCACCTTAAATTTTCAATGTTTCAAAAAACAAGACTCGTGTCACTCATTTCAACTAAAAATCAAATGAAACAATTTTCAATATAATTATTTAAATTCATAAATTAAATTAAATTCATAAGTGATAAAAGTAAAATCATTTTTTTTAAGATAGATCCTGTTCCATCTTAAAAAAATTAGAAAAGACGGTAAATAAAAAAAAAAAAAGAAGCCATAGGAGAGGAGAGGAGAGAGAGGATCGGTAAAAGAAATATCTATTCAAAAAGAAAAGAGGAGAACTTAAAAGGGACTTGGAAATAGAACGAGAAAAAAAGGAGAGAACTGTTACAAATTCATGATGGTCGTCTTCGAGTATAGAATCCAGAGGTCGGCAGTGAATATGGAGACAGTAGGAAAGCATAGTGCAGGTTCGCAGTGGATATCGCAGCAAAGTAGCAGAGCGTAGTTCTTCCGTTGTCAACAAGTTGGCTCTGGTCATTCCGGTAGGGTAAAAAAAAGATGGCCGCCTTTATACACGACGGATACAATGTTTTTTGATTGGTCAAAAATTAGAAAAAAAGTCATTTTGACTAATGGTAGTTATATACATATATACACAAAAACTGTAACAAGGATGAAGAAATTGAAAAAGAAATTTTAAAAATTAGAGAAAGAAAAATGAAAAGTCAAAATGAAAAGTCAAAAGCAGGAATGGCTATAGGAGCAAACAGAGAGGAAGGAAGAGAGAGATTATTTGTGATGTATTGAGAAACACAGAGAGATGCTAAGAATCAGAGATAGGGAAAGTAAAGGGAGAAGAGGAAGGCGGGGAGAGAGAAAGGGCGAGGAGGTAATAGAATGCAGGTAAAAAATAGAAAGCATGGGGAGAGAAAAGAGAAGTACAAATTAGAAGCCCCGGAGAGTGAGAGAAAAAGAGAGATCCATTAGAAAGAGAGAGATCGATGAGAAAGAGAGGCAGATAGACAGACACATAAACAGAAGAAATAATAATAATAATAATAATAATAATAATAATCTCCGGTAGAATGTAATGTATCCTTGAAGATCGTCGAGAAACTATCAAAATACAAGGATAATGAAGTGTAAATCTAAAAAATGTGGCACATGAGGACATCAATAATTCCAGTTGTAGTTGGAGCACTAGGATTGATTGGAAAAATTTCCAATAGGGTAATTAAAGGGATTCCTGCTAACCCATGCCATAAAGAAATACAAAAATTGTACTAAAAAGTTCAGTTTGCACATTACGAAGTAAAATGTCTGTGAACTTAGCTTTTCTTTTCTTTTACAAAATGGCCAGTGAAAAATGTCATGAAACCTTTTCTGACCTTAGGTCTCTGATTGGGATCCGGAAGGAAATGTATATAGAACAGAAACCCAAGGACATAATAATAATAATAATAATAATAATAATAATAATAATTATTGTTGTTCTCAGGAGACACCATACGAAGAGCTTTATCTATGTAAATTATATGTGTTGTTTTGTTTTTTTAATTGTTCAGTGGAAAATGTCATGATGCTATTTCTGACCTTAGGTCTCTGGTTGGAACCCGGAAAGAAACGAATGCACACCAGAAATCAAAGGAAATAATAATAATAATAATAATAATAATAATAATAATAATAATAATCGGTCTAGAAAGAAAACAAGAGGGGAAAAAGAAAGGAAGGTGAATTTATAGAGAGTGAAATTTTAGACTCCATGGAGAGTGAGAGAAGGAAAGGAACGAAAGAGAAATAGGCAGATAGACTTAACGAAAGGCGATTTAAAAATGAAAGGGTGGAACAAGAGAAGAAGGTGAATTTATAAAATTAACATTGGAGAAGTCAAAGAGAGAGAGAGAGAAAGAGAGAGAGAGATAGATAGATAGAGAGAGAGATAGATAGATAGAGAGATAGAGAGAGAGAGAGAGAGAGAGAGAGAGAGAGAGAGAGAGAGAGGGGGTTTTGGGAGAGAAAGTGCTCAGTTCTGGAGAAAAAAAAATAGTGTTTTGAACAGAGAAATATAAGGTGCCTTGTACAGAGAGAGAAGCGGGAAAATTTAAATGAATAAATGAAGTGTTGAAGTTAATTTCATCGTCACTTAAATAGTTTAGAAAAGAGTGCTAATTTACTTTCAAACGGAGGCATTTTCATAAATTTAATTTTGGGCTGTCATTTGTACTTTATGGCTGAGCGAAAAATACAATATACCCGTCACCAAGTTACATTATCAATGAAGGGTGAACGACAGCAGTAAATCCCATCCTTCGCGACATTATTTTAATAATACAAAAACGAAACTAGCAAGATACCTTAATAATCAGCCAATAAGATAATTATCCAAAAATTACTAGGCATACACACATATATCTGTACTTGAAATTAGTTTTTTTTTATCGACATCGGAGAACGGTACAAGGCCTCAAGAATTTGATATTTACTTACCTAAGAATTCAATAGTGACATTATATTGTAGAACGGTAAAAAGATTCAAGAATTAGATATTTACTTCGTTAATTCTCCGAAATTTCATATTTTTTCTGTTGGTTTTTTTCTCAAATTTCTTCGACGCTCTCAGTCATTATTAAGAACAATTGTAGGCGGATTTCATTTGCTATATCCTGGTATTTCTCAGTGAAAAATGTCATGATGCTATTTCTGACCTTAGGTCTCTGGCCGGGACCCGGAAAGAAATGAATGCACACCACACACGAGATAAAAAAAAAAAAAAAACAACAAAAAACTATGGCGTTAGCTTAGATTAAGTTGACACCATATTCAATTATTAGAGAGAATGTCCGTACCAGATATAATGCGTCAATATTATTTATTTATTTTACTCTTATAAAAGATTTTATACAAACTTCAAGATTCCGTCTCCTCTGGTGAAAGAGGTTCTATTTAATATACGTTGTTTATTTTGTATAATAATAGTTTCACAATTGGAGAGCCTCGCAAGGGATCGGATCGGCTGGCGGCCTCTCTGCGTCGCCGGTGTGACGCACTTCGAGGAAGGGAGACGAGGAGCGCTCGAAGGGAGGCGACGCCAACGCCATCTGCAACCTGTCAATTCGGCACCGGGCATGTTTCCCTGCCACCTGTGCCCGAGAACTTGTCATTCGCGGATCGGGCTGCTATCTCACTTGGTAGCCCACAAAAGACGGATGGAGATTGGAGATGGAAGGACAACGTCGACGTCAGCAATGACGGACAGCCGAAGAGAGAGATATGTAGAGAGATTTAATAATAGTTTAGAAGGAAATAAGATTTTTCTTTCGTTTCTTGGTTGATTTTTACTGGCATGTCAACGTCTATGAGTTATTTAGTGCCAAAATCTAAATATTTTGAAAGACAATCTTATGGCTTCAACTACAGATTAAAATGTATTGTTAGTCATATTGCTTTGAAACTTATTGTTGGTAATTATACTATAAAATGTATTGTTGGTCATTATGCTGCAAAATGTATTGTTAGTATTTTTACTATAAAAATGTATTTTTATACTTTCATAGTATTTTGTTTGGGGATTCCCCATTTGCCCATAGCTGGGAACCTAACAAGCGCTACCACCTCTGGTGACGCTGCAAATGGCAACAACAGCAATTAGGAGGTGATTTCACTCTCCTCAAAATTCAGATATGGTCCTTGCTGCCGGCTGTAGTTTATCGTCATCCTTTCATTGAGTTTTGTATCGTATATTGATAGTATCCTCTAGTATTTGTTTTATGTTGATAGTCATAATTTGGCTTTTAGTTACATGATAATGGATATGTGTACGAATTTTACTGAGTTTCGACAGGTAACTATTTAATCTAAGAGAGAGAGAGAGAGAGAGAGAGAAAGAGAGAGAGAGAGAGAGAGAGAGAGGGGCGCATGTGTGTCCTATGCAACAGTAAAATGTTATTTGGTTGCTTATATTGGAGAAATAATTACACTGATAGATCTTGCTCGAAAGACACTGATTCTGGTCCTTTAGTTTCTGGTTTGAGACCAGAACCTTCCAGCAACTGTTGGGTAAGAGTTTGATCTGCATCAGGATCGCCGGCTCTGATAGCGTATTTGCCTTGCAGAGGTTTTGTTTTTCTCCCATCTGTCAATAGTGTTTTTAAGGCTGATTTGTTTGGCTGTATTTTTATTTACTTTACATTCATAGCGTTTTGTCTGGTGGCTCACTATTTACCCATATTTGGATCCCTAATAAATGCAATGTCCTAATAACAACAGGTACTGTTGTCTTGAATTGCCACATTTTACTGAACCCCCTTCTGAGAGACCTTGTATTTACTCTGTTCAAAGATGTGTTTTTCTTAGCTAAGGCTACAGCATCTATCAGTAGACATGTTTTTCGACATGATTATTTACAATTAGCTCTGGTTGAACAGCCTAGATTTCTATGTCAGTCTCAACATTGAAATTCCAGTGGCTGGTAACAACTTTATTCAGAACAAATTGTGGTGTCTCGTGTTCCCACCAATTCTCTTTGCAAACGAGATTGAATGTTGAATGCATGACATATTACCAATATGAGTACTAAGCATGCCTATCAAGTACTCTGAATGAAACCAGTCAGCCACACCCAGATATTACATGGCCAGACATCTCCAGATGTTCTCCATATACACATCTGGATAGGCTGCTGTTACGTTTCAGGACATTCTATTCATAGTTACTGGTTGGAAGACACTGATGCTGGTCAGCAATTACGAAACCTTCAATTTCTGGTTTGATGCAAGAACATGCCAGCCACTGGTGGGTAAGAGTTTGATTTATATCAGGAACGCCGGCTCTGTTAGGTTATTTGCTGTGCAGAGGTTTTGTTTTTTCCCCATTTTCCAATAGTGTTTTTAAGGCCTACTTATTTGGCTGTATGTTTATTCACTTTGCTTTATAAGCTTTGAACGCATTTTCTCGTTCGTTCGGTAGCATTTCCCGAAGATAGAGTCTTTTGTCACAGAGTGTAGTTACTTGATATCGTCTTGTATTAGAACCAGTCTTAGAATGCAATCGCTAGTTTGCTGAAAGAAAAAAAACCCCAAAAAACAATATTCTTTTTTCTTTTTATGTACAGTGTCCCATCACCACGTAGGCGATAATCTAAAAAGTCTTAATAATTCCTGTCCCTTAAAAGTTCTGATAGAAAGTCATCCCCCCCGTATTCCTTTGTTTTTAAGGGCTCTATTCGACCTGTGGTGTAAGATTTCTTTGTCATTTTGTCCTCAGAAATTTCATTGCCCCTAGATGATGTTAAGTATAAACTTCCTCCTTGTTTGAAACCCGCTAGGTACGCCATGCGTTGCTTTCCTTTGTTTTTCTTTCCCTCTATTCGACCTGTGAGTGTCAGATTCTCCAAGCCCTTCTTTCTTATTACGTGTCCCAGAAATTTCAGCTGCCTCTTCTTGATGTTAAGTATAAACTTCCTCCTTGTTTGAAACCCGCTATGTACGCCATGCGTTGCTTTTCCTTGTTTCTCTTTCCCTCTATTCGACATGTGAGTGTCAGATTCTCCAAGCCCTTCTTTCTCATTACGTGTCCCAGAAATTTCAGCTGCCTCTTCTTGATGTTAAGTATAAACTTCCTCCTTGTTTGAATCCCGCAATGTACGCCATGCGTTGCTTTTCCTTGTTTCTCTTTCCCTCTATTCGACCTGTGAGTGTCAGATTCTCAAAGTCCTTCTTTCTCTTTACGTGTCCCAGAAATTTCAGCTGCCTCTTCTTGATGTTAAGTATAAACTTCCTCCTTGTTTGCATCCTCTCCAAAAACTCATCGTTGCTCACACACTCGGTCCATGATATCCTTAGCATCCGTCTGTAGAACCATACCTCCATTGTCTCAAGTCTCTTTTTCATCTTTGAGGAGAACGTCCAACCTTCGCTGCCGTAAAGGAGGACAGATGTCACGTAGCAGCTCCGCATTCTTTTCTTTGTTACCAAAAAAATCCTCCTGTCTCGTAATAATCTGCCTAGCTTTTGGAATGCGTCTTTGGCTATCTCAATACGTCTTCGGACCTCAGTGTCACAGTTATCGCCCTCTGTAAAAAAAAAAAAAAAACTTCCCAGATATTTAAATTTTTGCATCTGCTTGATTTTAGCATCCGCGACTTGCAAATTTTGCCTTTCAGGATCATTCTTTTACTAATGACCAGGCATTGTGTCTTGTAGTTTATGCTTAGTCTGTTCTTCACACGCCGCTCTCCTTCGCTATAGCTTGCTGAATTTGGCTGAATTTGGCTTCCATAGAACGTACTGGAATCAAAAGGGACAGAAGAAAACAGCAAATAACTTATCTAAGGTGTTTGTATAAATGGTTGACTGGAAAGAGATTTGGAGAGGGAACAAAAATCAAACTTTAATGAGAACTACAATGGATAGGAAGTTGTGGAGAGCTACCTACGTCTACGTACAAAGAAAAAGAAGAAAAAGAATAAGAATACAATCATGACTATTTTTAAGTAGGGTATTGTATTCTGGAACAAGTCAAATAAATATCATAGGAGAAAATGGATATTATCTCTATTCATCTCAAATCGATCATGTCTGAGCATTCGGTGAATTGACAGGAAAAATCATTAAAATAATTAAGCAAAATTCTAAATATTAACGATAGAACCTAACTTCATCTGTATAATGTCGATAATTTCCCACCAAGTCACACTTTAGACACTGCCATATTGTACATCTGACGGGGGCTGAATGACACAGGTCAAATGGTTTTGAATAATGCTTGTGATATGTTAGCTAATTTTGAAAAATCATTTGGGGGCTTTGATTCGGCACCGCCATAATTAGCGCTAAGTAAAAGTCAGAACCGCTCTCACCGGGGAACCTGTACCATGGGTTCAACAGCAGGTCTTTCTAACTGGTTTTAGCTTGTTACACCAAATCCGAAGGTGTACTGGGATAGTCAAAAATGTCTTCCAAAAGTTAAGCAGATTATTAATAAACAGAAAAATTTCGTTAGAAAAAAAGAAAAGCGCAGTGAAATCTTACGTGATATCAGAGCCCCAATATGGCAGTGAAAGCTGGACAATCTACTCAAAGATGAAGAAGATACTTCAAGCAAATGTGGTCCTACAGAAGGATGCTGGGGATACCAAAGAACGAATATGTGAGCAAAGATGAAGTTTCATGTTGCAGTTAAACAACTTTCAAACTAAAAGAATTAGTGACAGTAATGGAAAATAAAATGTACAGGAAGAAAACAGATTAGAAAATAAAAAATTACTTAAAATCAGAATCAAACACACCTGCAGACTGGCGACAAAGAACAGAACACGTCATGCTTGGCCCAAAGAAATGAAATTATATATATATATATATATATATATATATATATATATATATATAATTATTTATTTAAAAATATGATTCCAAATCGCTACATAAGAGGTCTCATGTTTCAAAACAAGAGCCGAAAATTTCAATATAATATTTTAAATTAAATTGAGTTGAAATTAAAAAATATCGTTCCATCTTCAAATAAAATTTTGTTCCAACAAAATTTTCGCTTGAAGATGTTTTGAAACATGAGAGAAGAAAGGATTTGGAATCATATTTTTAAATAAATAATTATATTTATGCTCTACTTTTGTATCGAGCACTATTTTTTAAAAATAATAAAAAAAATACTAAGGAACTTTGGACTATTCACCCTAACCAGTTCCTTCCTATTTTCTATATATTTTCACATATATATATATATATATATATATATATATATATATATATATATATATATATATATATATATTATTTATTATTATTATTATTATTATTATTATTATTATTATTATTATATGAAAATGGAAAAAAGGAAACATATATTTAACATCAGTAAGAGACAGTTTAAATTTATAGGACTCATAATGAGCAAACAGGGCTTGTAAAATCTGATACCCACAGGGCAGATTGAAGGTAAGAGGGTCAAAGGAAATCAACGCATAACCTATCTAGCAAGTTTGAGTAAATGGATGACGGAAGAGAACGACAATATTTATTAATGGGCAGACAGGAAATTATGGAGAGCCATGATCCCCTGCGTTCTGAAGGGGAACAGCAGAAAAAGAAGCAGACACGAAATGGCTATCGTCAAATGTTTGGCGAAAAAAAAAAATAGGTGGGAAATTGGTTTCCCCAAGAAAAAGCGAACTTTTAAAAGTGTTATTTGAAAAAACAAAAAAAAAAAAAAAAAAAAAAAAAAACAAAACAAAACAAAAAAAACAATATGCGAGGGAAGAAGAAATCATTTAAAATCCCGAATGATTGAATTTGATAATGATATTTGGCCATAAGGTCTTCTCTTACGATTATTTTGGTCATAGAGTATTTTAAAAATATTTTGTTTTGTTTTTTTTTTTTCTTCCAAGTATTCTAAAAGCAAATGGAAGCCATTTACGATAATGCGTTCAAAATTTGAGACAGAAGTCCAAAGTAGAGAAATAATCAATCCACCTAATTAATCAACTAATTAATCAACTTAATTAAACAGAGACTATCTTTGGATAGTTTAAGGGAAAATTTAGCAAAAAGTTTTGCGAATTTAAAAGGGCTCCAGGGAGTAGAGTTGCTCGGAAGAAAACAGACAGAAAAAGAAAGTTAACAAGAAAGAACTATTTAATCAACATTAGATCGAGACAAGAAAGAAGAAAAAAAGATGAAAATGGAAAAAAGTAAAGGTAAAAATATAAAACAATGGAAAAAGTAACTCCGACAAACATGCTCACAATATTAGAAACCGGGACTGATGTTAATTTTTTTTTCTGAACTTTGTTTACACAATTTTAAGAACGGTATAGAGGCGTAGATATTTACTTCCGCACACCTAACGATGGCGGGATATGACGCATGGTCTTTCAGATGTGGAGTGCCTTAGTGTACTGTCACGACGGCATCGGTATTTCACCACCTGTTCCTCTGTAGTGAAGTGAGAGACACTTTGCCAAAAAGATGTAATTATATTATCGATGATGTGGTTAATTAATTAAAATATTATTTTAATTAAATCATGGGATGAAATGATTAAAAAAATCATTTAAGAACAAATAAAAATGAGTTTCTTTCTTTCCAGTCTAATCCATCATTAGAATTTCAGACTAAAAAAGAATTTCCTTTTACAATAAAATTTCCTTCCTTGTAAATAATTTACTTCATTGATTGTTTTTGTTTCGTGTCATATCGGCATCTGTAGGTTATTTTAATCTCGAAATCTAAATATTTTGTACGCAATTCTATTTATTTATTTATTTAGATAAAACTGGTTTTAGTGATACAAGTCTTACTAGTTAACCCATGGCTAGGAGGAGACGAGATGGACTTATGCCTTTTCCAATGGTGTTGGTACGTATGTGAATATAACGATCCCAACTGGAATTGGAACTCTTCCGAGCCATTATCCATTAAACCACCCGAATACAGTATCTGATATTCCCAAGCCGTCACCCATCTATGTACTGAACAGGCTCGACCTGGCTTAACTTCAGTCATCATAAGGGAATCGGTGTTTCAACGTGATATGGCCGTAAGACAGATCTTTAGAAAAGCTGGATGATCCAGTCGCTGCAAATCATAATGAAAATGCATTTTGCATATAATTTTTTTAATAATTAAATAGGAAACCTCTGTAATTATAAAGAAAATGAATGAACAGAATATATATTTTAACCAATTGTAAATTAAGGAAGCCATTCTAATTTTTAGCCTCGTTTTGAGTCGATATTTTTCTGTAAATGTCATTAACTCGTCTTAGTTATCCAGTCTTCCGTAAAAAAATACTTTACCCAATTTAGTGATTTTCAACGTTTTGAAAAATTCTTGCAGGTATCTATACGATTTTTATAAATATTTTATCCCCATCATTTTTTTTTTAATAGTTATCAACATTCTTTGAAATAACTCCAGAACTTACATTTTCGCCATCTTGAATTTATCATTTACTTTTATTAATCTCTTCGTCTATCACTACCTCTAATAAATACAAATATACACTTTCGTAGCGTAACGTAGACATAATCTCGCGTTTACAAATTCGCCCACACAAAAGAAGGGAAAGTCTTTCAACACCCAGATATAAATAAAAGAAAATTCAGTTTGACAAATTCAGCGTTAAAGAACTGTCGTTATTTCATACCTCTGTTCGTTGTTTTGTTATTACATCACGCGTTTTTTTCTCAACATTTTAAAATATAAGCAAATTTGTTAAATTTAACAATTTCTCTCTTCGTAATCTATCTTAAATATCTATAACTCTATAATTCGTCTATGCATTAGAATATTTCTGTCACATATGATCCGGTGCTTCTGCTATATATTGAGAGATTCTTGATAAAATCCAAAAAAGAATCAATGTGATATGGCTGTAAGTCTTGCAAATCGAACATCATATTGAATACGAAACAGTGAATATTTCTGATCAATATTAACCTATGTACTACTAATTAATCGTTTACTTTCACGTATAGACAATTACTACTGCTACTACTTCTACTACTAGTACTACTATTAATATTAATACAAATAATCTAAAAATTTCAGATTAGAATATGTCAGGCAATGTCATCTTAAACAAAACAAAAAATAAAGTAAGCTAACGTGAAAAATTAGCGATTTTTTTTATGTAACGTATTTTAAGGAATATATGTGAGTTAATGGTTAGCGCTTTGGATTGCTGAATTGGAGAAACCGAGTTCGAATTCTGGTCGAGTTCATTACACTCACTTACGTGTTAATACCCTATAAATCCACCACTTTCCCTCCCCTGATATAGATAAAACAGCAGGACAGATTGGGTCTTATAGCCTTGTGTGGCAATGTGTCTAGGTGAACAACACTGCTACAACACTTCTACTTTGGCTGCGGTATATGTGATGAACCTAAAGACCAAATGGGTTACATGTCTCGTGGTCATGATCCCTGTGAAGATATTTAATCGATCTATTCAGATAAGCAATATGGCTTTCGTTTCTCCAGTTTCTGTTGGTGTACTGATGATAATTACAAAAAGAGTCTATCAAGCTCTAGACAAGAAATGATGTTTGGGTTGTAGCTTTGGATATCTCGAAAAGCTTTGACATGGTTTAGCATGTAGGTCTCCACAAGCTGAAAGGTTGAACTAAGCCAATCTTTCCTATTGAATCGTGAAATGAAAGTGTTATGGTCCAGGTAAGGACCAAGGAAGAACAACACGAACGCAATAGTCGAAATAACAAAGGTATATTACACGAAATAATAATGCAATATGTGGAAGGTGTTAGTATGACTGTCAGTCTGGTTTGAAGTGAACTACTATCCGCTCGACTCGATTCGATATCTAGCCACCCCCACGAGGGTTGCATATGGTACAAGGCCGAGTTTAAAGTGGGTTTCCCGATCCCGTAGGCTCGGCCAAAAAATGCCCGTAGAAACTGTAAAAACAGAATCGGGTTGGTCAACCTCCCCGAACGAGACTCTGCCCTTCGGCGGATCCTCGTCCGGGTTCCTCTCTGCTCAGAGGCAGAGAGTTCGACCGTCGAGCCGAAACGGCTCGACTCGGTTCGGTATCCAGTATCTAGCCCCCGACCCCCATGAGGCTTGCATGTGGCACGAGGCCGAGTTTAACGTGGGTTTCCCGAGCCCGTAGGCTCGGCCAAAAAATGCCCGTAGAACCCGTATAAACTGGATCGGGTTGGTCAATCTCCCCGAACGAGACTCTACCCTTCGGCGGAGCCTTGTCCGGGTTCCTGTCTGCTCAGAGGCAGAGAATTCGACCGTCATGCCAATAAGCTCGGCTCGATTCGGTATCTAGGCCCCACCTTTGAGGGTTGTATGTGGCACAAGGCTAAGTTTAACGTGGGTTTCCCGAGCCCGTAGGCTCGGCTAAAAAATGTCCGTAGAACCCGTAGAAACGGGATCGGGTTGGTCAACCTCCCCGAACGAGACTCAGAGGCAGAGAGTTCGACCGTCAAGCCAAGAAGCTCGGTTTGATTCGTCTCTCTCTCTTGAGAGGCGTAGTATACATAGTGTTAGGAAGAGTTCATTCTGTAGTTATATGTAAGGACCCATGACAAAAAGTAATCCTGAACGGCCACTCTTCTATTCTATTTGCTTTTGTACTAATGCAGAGGACCAAATTCTTGGTCTAACTTTGTTTTCATTTTCATTTTCTCGAAGGCATCAGCTCTCGTCATAGTATCTACGCTGATGACAAAACCCTTTACTCCTGTCTCGATAGTAAGTAGGATCAGTTTGAAAAGGTCAAACTAGCAAATGATATCCAAAACGACCTTCTGTCTTTTGTTAACTGGGACAAATGATGGCTTGTTAATTTTAACGCCTTCAAAACTAAACTGTACATCTGAAAGAATATTTTCTGCCTTCCATCAGCATGGCAGATTGTGACGTCCAGGAGAGTGACTCGTTGCGCCTTTTTAGGCGAACGTTCTCGTCTGACATGAAGTGGAAAGACTTTATTGAATCCATTGCTAGATCAGCTGCAAAAAAAATTGGATCAGCTGTGATACCCGGTATAGCCACACTGGTGATCTGTGATACAGCGAAATAGTCTGTCTGTGGATGACTTATTTAGGCTCTCATTCGCCGATTAAGCACTATGGTGAAAAGGGAATTTTTAACGGCTGCCGCTGCTTTAGTGCATCGTTCTTCGTAAGAATTGAGCGCTATGGCGGCCGGTATAGCGTATCACGGATATAATGCGTTCAAAAATTCCTTTCCTCCGCCGTGCGCCTAGAGAAAAGGGTCTCTGACTGATGTCAAATCGATTGAGTTTCGATCCCGGCTTGAAACAATCGGATGTCTAACCACACTGATGTGCTGTGATACATCGAAACAGTCTGTCTGTGGATGACTATATATATATATATATATATATATATATATATAAAAGAAAGAACAGTAAGATATATAATCCGGTGTTCCTATTGATATTTTTATTTTTACAAAATAGTGCTCAATGTAAATTTACAGAGCATTAATATTATAAATTAACTGATTTAAAATACGTTTTTTTCGCTACACAGTAATAACATGTTTCAAAAAAGCTTCGAATTTAATTTTGTAATTAAATGAAAAAATATTAGTTCCATTTCATCCTCAAGCGAATTTTTAAATTAATTACAAAATTTTAGCTTCCATTTTTGAAACATGGTCCAGAAAGCGAACGTTCTAATTAATCGATCACCTATATATAGGTACCTCCAAAAAAGCGATACCTAATGTTTAAAATGCATTGTAAAAACGAAAAATAATTCTTGAAGCATTTATTTTACTTTTAATTGTAAGTTCTTAATCTAATATTTTCAATAGGCAAATACTTTGGTGTATGTCAAACCGAATTTAAATTTGATTGGAATTAACTATTTTTATTAGTAGTAAAATCGTTAAATCGGCCATAATAAAAACGTTTAAAAATGGCATATATTTTTCTAGAAATTTATTTGAGTAAGATTAGCTGATTTAAAGTTTACTTAATCTGAATTAAAAGAAATATTACTTACATGTAGTTTAAAATATCGCAGAAAAGCATTTGTTTAACTCGGAGGTAGGTGGTTTTATTAGTTATTGACACATGTATCGATTACCTGATATTTGTGATTTTTATGTAAGGGGGAAATAATTCTGGTAAAATGACATGGTGAATACAACGTAAACGCCTTTTATAGATAATGTTTTAACTTCCCTGTAATCTTAACAATTTTAAAAATTTTAAAGATTCTAATATTTTATCGAATTTCAGTTTCTTTGACATTACAGTCTTATTTATGAGACACTTGATGAAGAAATGTTACAAAATTAACCATAAATTTTATATTTGCTATAGTTTACGCACTTATTTTCTGATAATGTCGTTTATCGAAGTCAGTATTTACAAAAATTGGCACGTTTGTACACACACGTGCACAAATACGTTTATACACACACATGCACACAGAACTACACACACAGACGAAATTATTATTTTTTAAGTCTTCTTTATTTTATCTTAAGAAGTAGGTGACCAAAACTGTCCCTTATAGCTCTTAATAAACTAGAGTCTCTGAATTGTAGTTGGATTATTCATTTATGATTACAATTTTGATAAGTAAATATAGTTTTTATTTAATGACATATCACTTGGCCGCTAGAAATTAATACAGAATTTTAAAATATTTTATAAATTATTATAATTACAATGTTTAAAAATGGAAACAATTCATGTAAAAATTCATTATTTAATGAAATTGTTTTTCTTAAGACAATACTGTTCATAATATATTTTATTTGTAAAAGCAATTAAAAGCATTAGTAATTAAAAATATTTAAGTTTTCTTGCATTTTTCTATATTATGATTCAGAGAAGTTTGTAACAGGGTTCTTGTTTAACCAAAAAGATTTGATTTAAATTTTCCAAGGACTTGTCCTTATAACTAATATAAACATTAAGCGCTATGAAAAATATTAAATGTTGTGTAACAAATGTAAAATAAAACATTTTTACCAAGATTTTCTAAAAAGGAAAAATAAAACAAAACAAAAAAAACGAAATCATTTC